GTCACTCCCACCAGGGTGCCACATCAGCAAATAGAAATTTAGATAACTTTTGTGTCCCTAAATGCTTCACTTGACCAAAAATACAGTATATCCAGTCAGCCAGTTCCTAATCGCCAAGCCACCTCTGGGCCTTCTGATCCCAAACAAGGTTGACTATGTGGGCCTAGCCAATCAGATATTTTCTATTTTTCTCTTTCTTAATTTTTTGTTTTGTATTCTATGAAGTTTTCTGCCTTCCACCCCATTTTGCAGTTTCCTGTCACTGAAAGGAGACTGTCCACTTCATGAAGTGTTAAATAAAGTTTGTTTGTGTCACCTAAGTTGCCTTCTTTAATCATTTTTAATATCCAATAATTGAACAGACAAGAAAAGTGAAGCATAGAAATGCTGTGACTTGCTATCCTCTGTTCCATGGCCAAGACTCCTGATGGGTGTCTGTACATATTCTTTCTCACCTCCTGCTCACTTTTCAACAGCATGAAACATGAATGCTGTACCCAGAACTCCACCAACCTCTATCACTAAGAACTCCCACCTTCTCTTTGTTACTAAATTCACGTTCACCTTGCAGTCCTTGTCTTTCGTACTGTCTGCAATATTTCACAATGTCGACTGCTCTTGCTTCTCCAGGATTTTGTAGTTCGACACTCTCTTGGGTTTCCTCTTGCCTCCAGTCCCACTTTCCCATATTTATTTGTTTGTTTATTGATTGATTGATTTTTCTTGTTCTTTTTCTGGTCTTTAAAATGAATTTTACAAGAGTCTTCCCCTGGACACTGTCTTCTCATTAGCTTCTCATTCATAGCTTGATTAATTTAATCACTTTCCAAGGTTTCAATAATTATTTAATTGACAAGCTGAATAACCGTACTTTCTGTATCTTCTGTCTAAATGTTTCTCCTGGGATTGAAGTTGAGGTTTTAATCTTTTACATATAAATAAAAGAGAAAGAGAGAGTAAAAGAAAGAGAGAAAGAGAGAGAGAGCTGGGGAAAGGATTCTAGCACTTTCCCAAGTTTTTCACATAAGCAGCTGGATAGAAGTTAATGGAATTCATTCTAATGAGAGAATATAGGATGAGAAGTAGGTATGCAGGTGGGGATTACATATTGTGTTTAATTTACTAAGTATGTTGGGCCAGTAGGCCATCTTAACGTTGATGACGAGATCTCATAGGAAATAGGAAGGAGATAATAGATTTGAGAATAATTAGTAAATAGTTGGTAAAAGAAAAGAAAGAAGGGAGAATGGACAGGGTAACTCAAAGAGTCATAATTTGAGGGAAGAAGAGACAATATGTGCAGAAAAATTTGAAATATGATTATGAGTTCAATTGGGGAAGTATATATAACATCCAAATGTGGGGTTCCAGGAGACCAGTTGTTTATCCACTGGCTCCTCAGATCCCAAGAGGCCCTCAGGGGTCAGTGTGAGGCACAGACAGGCAACATGGGAAGAGTTAGGGGGCTTTGGGGCTTTGGGGCTTTGGAGCTTTGGAGCACCACTCCCTGATTCAAAGAAGCTCCAGCATTGCAGAACATTTCATTCATTTCTTTACCAGTGACATAAAAGTGTGAAAACTGCCAAAGGGAACACATTTATTTGACTGAGAAAATGGAGGCTTAGGAAAAGTTAAGCCATTTGACCAAAGTCACATATCGTCTCAGTGACCAAAAATAAACTTGGATGTGTCTCTACTATACCGTCTTTCTCTACCGTTTTCTCCATTCAGTTTCTATTCATTCAGTTTCTATTCAAAGCATCTTTCAGGTCTATGCCTGTCTTTGGATCCCCACTCATACTTCTTTAATTAATACTATCTTCAGTTGTCTCATTGATAATGGAAATAATTTTCTCTAGATTTACCTCACAACATCTCACCCTACTTCATTCCCAGTTCATTTTCCAAACAAAGTAATCTTCCTGAAAGGCAAATCAGATTAGATAAATCAATGGCTTAAAATTCCTCAGTGGCTCTCAATTGTTTCCTAGAGAAAGTGTAAAACATAACTTACAAAAATCTCTCCCTTATTTACTTTCCATTTTCATCTTATATAAGCCACTCTATTTGCTAAATATTGTGTGTTTATTGTGTTCCAAGTATATTTCAGTGATAAACTTTTCTTCACTTTAATATGTGAGAAGACATATTTTAAAAAGTAATTTCCAAATTATTACTTGATTACATATTGTGACAACTGTTTTAAAGGAAAATAAGAAGGAAAATAGAGGTCCTATAAAAAAGATTAAGAATACAGGTGTAATTTAAACTGGATTTTCAGGAAATGCTTCTTCCTGAAAGAATCATTTAAATTGAGACACACAGGGTGAATAGGAGTTAGCCAAGCAAAGATTCCAGAGAAGACATTTCTGGCAGGGGAAGCAGTGTTTGTGAAGGTCCTGCAGCAGAAAGAGATTGATGTCTATAGGAACAGAGAGAAAGCTAACGTGGCTGGAGCCCAGTGAACAGGTGGAGAGAAAGAAGGGAATAAATATGAGGCATATAGACGCTACTCTTTATAGTTACTGAAACAAGCAACTCTCTCTTTCTGTCTCTCTGTCCCTCCCTCTGTCTCTCTCTTACTCTCTCCTCTTGTCCTTTGCACAGGCTATTTCCTCTATTTTAAACTAGATATTCTGCTTTCACACAGTCATTTTTTTTTTTTTTTTTTTTTTTGCTGAGGAAGATCAGCCCTGAGCTAGCCTCTGTTGCCAATCTTCCTCTTTTTGCTTGAGGAAGATTGTCCTTGGGCTAGCATCTGTGCCAATAATCCTCTATTTTTTTGTATGTGGGTTGCCATCACAGCATGGCTTGAGTGGTCTGTAGGTCCACACCTGTGATCTGAACCCGAGAACCCTAGGCCACCAAAGCAGAGTGCTCAAACTTAACCACTAGGCTACCAGTCCAGCCCCCAAAACAAGTCATTTTTATTACATTTTTGTAATTAATGTTACTTCATTCTCTAGGACACAGGGTAGACTTTACCCCATTTGGAAAGTGTGTTAGTCACAACAGACTGAATGCTGTAACAAACAACTTCAACATGATTTCTCTCTTATAAAACTCCAATGTATATGTCACTGAATAGCCAGTTCTTCTGAGGGCCTTTCTTCTTGGTGGTGACTCAGGGACTAAACTCACTCCAAATTGCGTCCCTAGCACTCCCTGGGGACTTAGGGTAATCAAGTTTCAGTCAATGTGTGGGAAAAGAGACAGTAGAGTAGTACAGGGGAGGTTTTTATGGGTCAGACTGAGATGTGACTTAAATAATTTCAGCCTGCGTTCAATTGGGCAGAATTCTGCCCGTGGCTACTCCTAACTACAAAGGACTCTACCGGAGAGAAGCAAGGGGTATAGTGAACAACTAGCCACTCTCTGCCACTCCTTCTTTCTTTTGGTCACAAAATACCCATTTCACCCTTTTTCCCACACAGAGAATGCAATCAGGCCCTCCCTAGGCGAGAGGACCTCAATTCCCATACAGTCACTCTATTCAGCTCAAAATCCAGGATCTCTGAGATTGGCATTGTCCTAGTCATCAAGTCCAAATGTGTCCCCTCATTGCCTCTCAACACGTGAACTAAAATGTCTGGTTGTTTTCAACACAGCTTTAAGCAGGCACAAGATAGCTGCCTGCTTAGAGATAGAAAGAACAGAAAACACATGGAGTCACTGGATTATAGCAAAGGTAAAATCCTGCAAGACAGAAATGTAGGAAAAAAGGAGGGAAGGAAGGAAAGAAGGAATGAAGAAAGGAAGGAAGGGAGGAAAGAAGGAAGGGAGAGGAAGGAAGGAAGGAAGGAAGAAATGGAGAGAGAGAGGAAGAGAAGGAGGAAGGGAGAGAAGAAAGGAGGAAGGGAGGAAAGAAAGAGAGAGGGAGGAAAGGAGGAAGGATGGGAGGGGGAGAGGAAAGGGAGGAAAGGACGAAGGAAGGAAAGAAGAAAAGGAGGAAGGAAGGAAGGAAGGAAGGAAAGAATTCAGAATATTATTTTCTGTATTAGGGATTCAATATCTTAAAAATAATAATGATATTTTTCATATTAGACACTACGCTAAGAACTGTGCTTTTTTTCCTGTAAATTCTCACAGTAACCATGTGAGTTGGGTATTACCATTATCTCTATTTTACGGATAAAAAACTTAAGTTCAGGAAGTTTAAGCAACTCGTTACAGTTCACACAGATACTAATTTGCTGGGGTTTGATCTCAAGATCGTCTGAGCAAGAATTAAGTCTTACCCATTGTTATCTACTACCTTTTGTATCTTATTCTAAGTAGCTAAAGGCCATTTGGTTTATCATTTCACTATTATTACAAATTACATGTCAGTGGAAAATGAACTAAATAGGCAGAACACTCCTAATATATATTTTAAGGGTTTTGAAGTATTTACAAATAAAATAATACTACTTAAACACAAAATCATTTAACTCTCTGAACCTAACAATACATGAAATCTCAATGCACTTGAACAAGACTTTCAAATTTTCAAATCATTAATAACTTAGCAGCCTTAGGCATCAGTTTCCATTACTATAGCATCACTATGAAAACATTACTAGTCAATACCTAATTTTAAGATTTATTTTTTTGAGATATTGCTTGTAATCAATAGGTTCATCAGAGTTTTCCTCAAACGTCTCTAATCCAAATGAAGACATTGTTTTTCTTCCATAATTTCTAGATAGAAATATGAATACCATTTCTGACTCAATATAAGTGTAAAGGTATACATTGTGCTCTATTGAAAGAATTATAGAGGTTTTCTAGTCTTAAAATGATTATTATGGCAGTATATTGGAGTGTTGGATGTACTACTTTGATTTGAGAGTACCCTCTTCACTACAGATGAAAATGGACTACTTAAAATTACTTTGTGCTATGTATATTTCACAAAACCAGTTACACAGGCAAAGTATTTTTGATAATAGCTGCATTTTTCAAATTTGTTTGAAAAAGTATCCTTTAAATTTACCATTCTCAGAAAGCATAATACTCACTGTTTTGTAACAGTTTTTATTCAATAGAATGCATTCTTTTTCCCTCAAGCAAAGACCTTTTCCTACTGAATTTCCAGCGATATCTGAAAAACACAATCACGGTTTTGCTATCATACATATTAATTTTCATTTTTTCAAAATATTGCACACAGTTCCGATAATGTTTCTTGTTAATATATGCTTACTCTGTAATACATTAATGCAATTGGCTATCAGCTTTTTCGTGGACTTTGAATTTGTGATTCTAAAAAGGCAAATATAGCAATTAAGAGTCCAGACGAAATCCCTCATCAATTTAGAATCAGCTGGCAAATTTGGGCCTTAGCTAATTAACTGTGCTCTTAAGAATTTTTCTGAGAAATGAACTCAATTTAAACTCAAATTAATTAAATTAAAATACATTCTGAAATCTGATAGATCAAAACCCATTAATTTTAGTTTAGCTGGTTCAATCCAGCCAGATCTTGTCTTCTGACCTGAGGTACCTCTCACCCCAAGCAATTGTGTAGTTAACATCACAGAGTAAAGGATTATGCACTAAAAAGTGTCACATACAATAATTTGGCCTAATAAAATTATATGTCGTACTGTTATAACTGAAGCATAAATAAAAGTGAATAAACAAATTAGCCTTTTCTTTGCAAAGTAGTGTCAAATCGACGGAGAGAAAAATGTTTCTACTTTCTCGAACTGAGGATCGTTTCCCTTACAAATCTTCACTAAACAGGTCCCTGTAACAACTTTATTGTGGTGTATACAGCAAAGGGCATTTTGGGGTTGTGTATTTTCCTTTAAGTTACACACTCCGTCTCTGAACACTTTTTTGTCTGGCATTTTTCTTCTCATATACATTTTAGTCTTACCACTGTCTAAAAGAAAGGAAAAAAAATACCCAGCAATCTATTTTATTCAAATCTTTTCAAAAAATTTTTTGTTACTATATAAAAGATTTCGAAAGTTCAGAAGGAAGGAAATATTCATAAAATGTCAAAGACTAAATTTTTTTAATGAGAAACTTAGAGGGACCTAAAAGACAATGCTAGCTTAATTAGTAAGAACTTTAAACAATAATACACAAGTAACTTTCACAGAAACAAAGGATTTCAGGGGAGACGTAATGGGACAATGGTTATTTCACTTGTACCTCATAAAAACCATCATTGGTCAGGCAAATACAAGCTGCTATTTTCCCAGGACAGCACTGTTTACACCTATTATCTTGGTGAACTTAATAATTATTAACAGTGCGTTGGTTTGGACATGAAATTATATAGTTACTTAGTTATAGGGTTCCTTTTGTGTGAAATGGGTACCAATATTTAGAGAAGTCTGTTCAGTTGCATGAAAGTCATATAGTGTGAGTTTGAAGAAAATTGGAGCAGTCACAAGATGTCCAGAAATATGGAAATAAAATAAGAATAAACTAGACTAGACCAGACTATAATGAGTATCTCTTGAACAGCAAAGAGAATTGCACTTATTTACAGTTTCTTAAAAAGTCTTTCACTGGGCCAAATGTAGGTTTGGATAACACTTCCACAGAAAGAACTGGCAGGCTGGGGTAATATGTGCAGGGGTCTACACAGCAAAGTAAGAGAAACCTAGTTCTATTGATGTTCCATTTTATTTCACTTTTCCCATTTCTCTTTTTGTATATGTTTCATAATGTACATAATACGATAGTTCAATGGTATTCAGCGGGCTTTAAATAAATAACTAAACATGTTGGGGGCTGGTGGTTAAGTGTGGCGTGTGCTGCTTCAGCGGCCTGGGTTCAGTTCCCGGGCAGGGACATACACCACTCGTCGCGGTCATGCTGTGGGAGCGACACACATACAAAATAGAGGAAGACTGGCACAGATGTTAGCACAATGTGAATCTTCCTTGGCAAAAAATAAGTAAGTAAATAAGTAAACAAACATGTTGGAGGCATGACTACAAAATCTATATTGATGGGCGAGGCAAACAAATTAGTTTCCACAACGTTCATCTAATATGTGCTGAATCTTTATTAGGCACTGGCAATGCTATAGTCAACTAAGTAAGCATAATCTTCTCATAGTCTACAGTTTAAAGACTCCAAAACTGTTCCTAGCACATTTTGACAATGTTATATGGTCATCGTTAACAGTATTATGTAAAAATTATAATACTATCATACATGCAATGTTTGTGTTTTTGGTTGCTTGTGTTCAGTATTGTACCTAACATTCTTAGTTAAACGTCACCCAAATAAAGTTTCCTATGCAACAAAAGTCAAATTGTTCCCATGATCTAACAAAAGGCTGAAAGGAGAAAATTTTAAAAAATAATCATTGTTCGGCCTCATTAATATGTAACATTCCATCAGCACATGCAACAATGCTGCTAAGGTTACCCAGTTAGGCCTTTAACCTACTAGATTGTCTAAAATCAACGATGTGGAAAACATTACAACTTTAATTTTAAAACATCCCAAATTCTTGACCATCTTGAATTTAAAGTCCGATTGTATTAGACACACAGTGCATTCAGAATGATTGTTCTTCTTGAAATAGATGTTGAGGTTATAATCTTCCTGTGTGTCGAATTTCTGGGTCTCTTTATGGTGAAATTACGAATTCGCAGTGTTTGGTGCATGGCCATTATTCAGCATGTAAACTTCTATTTTTACTTATAAAGGAACATAACGTATAACTCGAACACTTTAACTAGAGATGCGGTTTTTCCCTTTAATTTATCAGACTAAATTTCTTTTAACATCAGCAGAAAAATAGCACACAGAAGAGAGACCGTTAAGTGCATGATAACTCATTCTCTATTGCCAATTTCATACCAAATACTGAAAACAAAGCAAATAAAATCACATGAAACCAAACTTAAGAACCCATAATTTAGTGCCTACCACTACAAGATGGGTTTATATAGTTGCAAAATTAAGCCTAAATACAATTTTCATGTCTATGCAGGAATTGTCTCTGTGAAAGTTGCAAAGACCTGAGACAAGGGCCTCTGTATGGACACTGAGGTGAAATAACTCATATTCCTTATGACATCATGTTACTGATCCAGTGGGCAAAAGAGTTCAAATCTGTTTTAAGAGCAGAAAAAAAATACCTTTGATTTTTTTTTCTTTAATGGAAAACTGAATAAAAATGCTATGAATAATTTATACCCATTTTAAACCTGTTTTACCTTTCTTTCAATGCTCTAAACAGATAGAAAGATCATCAGCACTTTGCACAAGAAAGTATAAATCCATACAAAATTGTTTGAATGATTGCAATGAAATGTATCATTTTTACTCAAAATTTCATTGTCATAATTAAAGTAGAAAAACTATTAATAATTAATAATAACAGTTAATAATTAACAAAATAATAAACTCAGTGCAATTATTATTATATGGTTCTACTGTAAATAAGGCATTTTAAAAACAGATATTTACAGTCTTGGAAAAAAGAATGATTTTTATTTTTCTGTTCTTACTTGTGTTTTGCTATGACCAAAACCCGTCAATATAAGATGGTTGTATCATCTATTAAGAGCGTATATTGGATAATGAGTCTGAAGCCTATGATGTCTACAATGAGATAAATATGCAGAGACAAATTGATAAACAGTAATTTCCTGGATCCTAAGACACATTGTTAATTTTTTTTTTCGGGAAAAATAAATAAGGAAAAACAGTTGTAATTGTGCGTATACTTACAACAGTAAGCTTCAAAAACATTAAAATGTTGGTAAATGATCATCTTTGAATTGTGGAAAAGTGGTATATCTTTATATGTTTACTTGGGTCTCTGCTTTTCAGGAGGTCTTTATATACACTGCTGTAGATTTGCATAGATAAGTGGACTATCCTTCTTTTCTGGTGTTCACAGTACATTTTATGGGTTATTATTATTCTATTCAAGTTGAATCAAGAGATATGGGCTCTGATTCTGGGCTGCCACTGTCTGAGTGAGTGACCTTACATGGCAGGTCACTTGCCTCCTTTGAGTTATGGTCTCTAGTCTGCACTGAATGAGCTGTAAAATTCTAGCCTTATCTTCAGATCAGGGAAAGAGTGGAGGTGACAGAATTTAGGGCCAGCTTTGCTCCTTTGGGAAAGAATCAAGGTAAATTTTTAAGGGAGTCATGGCAGGCAAAGCATTACCTTGGGCAATAAAGGAGCTCACAGTCAGGGGAAGAGGTGGGTGATGGGAGTTTATGGCTGGATGGGAGTTTATGTCAGAGCCGAGAACTGAAGCACAGAAAAGGAGCACAGCACAGAAGAAGGCAAAGGGAGAGAGGCATACAGCCTAAACCAAGCAGGCGTTCAGCCAGCATAAGGGATGAATAAATAATAACAGGATCCAAGCCACAACTCGTTTACTGCTACAGAAGAGAATTGGAAGTATAATATTATAGCAAGGACCCATGTTTGTCCTGAAAGCAACTTCTAATTCTAAAATGCATTTTCTCTATAATTGTCAATACAAATAAAATTGTCAGAATCCCGATCACCTAATTTTCTAATATAACTCCTAGGGTACACAAAAAATTAGCTATGGAATTTGCCATATGATTTCAAATGAACAAAGCAAAAACTAAATATGCTGTCTTTTGGGGGAGAATATGAAAAGATTTTTTGTGCAAGATTTTTATGCAAGATTTGAATTTACCCTGTCTGGGTATAGTACTAGCTTCAACAAGCTCTCACGACCTGATGAGTTAATTAGACCTCAGATTTGTCATCTGTAAAATGGGAATTAAACATACATGGTAATGTTCCTATGCAGAGTAAATAAGATAATATAGCTAAATCATTTAGCACAGTGATCAGTACACATTAAGTGCTTTTTAAATATTTTTAATATTATTCTCCAAAATAATTACTTAAACTCGAAATACTACTTTATTTCAAAACTAAAGGTCAAGACTCTGGACGAGGTAGAGTGGGAATCAACGATGAATAAGTCTCTGCCATCCAGGACTTGACAGTTTTCTGGTACAGATTTTTCAAGTGAAGTTTTGCTGTGGAATAAATTTATTATTTAGTCTCTATGGAATAGGGAGCTGGGGAGAGAACTCCAGAGTTTCAAAAGTCAAAGAGGAAACT